CGTGCTGACGCCTTCAGTTCTCGTCCGAGTGACAATGGCCAGAGGACTAAACTTATTCTTATAAGCCATCCTAAAAATATCATAGTCAAACATGTTTACCTCAAAACCCGTGATATTCTCCTCCCTGACACCCACGACATTTTCCCAATAAGAGAACATCACCATCATCATCGGTAGCGCTACAGCCCATGTAGGACCACGGTCTGATCCACCCCATCCTTCCATTCGGACATCATCAGTGGCGCTAAAGCCCATGTAGGGCCCCGGCCTGCTCCACCACATCCTTCCATTCGGACATCATCATCAGTTGGCGCTACAGCAAATATAGGGCCCTGGCCTGCTCCACCACCACATTCTTCCATTAAGATGGAATAATAAGTGTTCCAATAAGTGACCATTTACATTAATCTAATGTGAAAAACAAGTCGAGATAAATTGTTGTTCAAACCAAGAGTCTGCTTTCAGCAAGTGAAGAAGAGCTATAGGTGTCCGCGTCCAAATCAAACTCTTTCTATGATGAGTTAACAGAAGATGAACTTTTATAGGAAATACCAAAGCTTGGATGACACCTAAAGGCAGCTGATATTGAATTTCACAAAGTCATGGACTGGTCAGTACTTGAGTTTTGAAATTCATAGCTTAATGGGACTTCCTAGAATCTCTTCCAATGCTTTCACTAAGCCTTCAATTATTTCTTACGATCTGTGTGTCTGTGGCTTCATGTGAGCGGAGCTTTCCAAAACTAAAGCACATCAAGAACTATTTACAATTCCCCATAGGCCGGCCAAGGCTTTCTGATCTAGATCTCCTATCAATTGAAAGTGATACGATGAAGGAAATTGATTTTGATCAATTGATTGATAGGTGTACAGATTTGAAGACCAGGAAAGGACAATTTTTAAATACGGTACATTCAATTTAAAGTAAAAACTGATCTTCATTAGCCCAATTTTTGTATTTAGGTCTGAAAAATCCTTACTCACAAGGACAGTCGGTAACAATCTTAAATTTATTGAAATAAAAACTACATTTAAAAATAATTTATCAGCTTCAACACAACTAGGAGTGTTTATTATATCTTGTTGTTTTTTTACAAAACAATGAACAATGCTTAAATGTAAATAATGCTGTGCAACATAAAAATGAACAAAAAGGTTATATGGAATCATGCATCCCACACTATCTCTTGACGTCAGCAACATAAAAACAGGTCAAGTCTTAATAAGGCAAGAGTATCTCTCACAGTTTTGTAGAGCATTTTTTTTTTAAAGTGGCCATGTCTACAATGAAAACCTCATGACAGTGACAGTAGTATCATGACAGTAGTAGCATGACAGTAGTATCATCATGACAGTAGTATCATGACAGTAGTATCATGACAGTAGTATCATGACAGTAGTATCATGACAGTAGTATCATGACAGTAGTATCATGACAGTATTATCATGACAGTAGTAGCATCATGACAGTAGTATCATGACAGTAGTATCATGAGAGTAGTATCATCATGACAGTAGTATCATGACAGAAGTATCATGACAGTAGTATCATGACAGTAGTATCATCACACGACACAAATGCATGCGTACATACATTATCACTGCAAGCTTCAAAGAAATCTCTCAAAGCGCACAGCATCCAGTAGTAGGAATGGGAATTGGTCGATTGAAAGTCCACCCTATCAATCACTTGTTTAAACTGTACAGTAACCGCCACACACATACACAAACACATTATTTCCCACTGTGTCCCGTGAGCTGGTACCAGAATTTGTATTAAGTCACAATAGAAAAACAAACATCCGAAATTAAATTTTGCCAGAATTTCGTGTACCTGGGCTCACGCGTTGTAGCTTTAAATAAAGATAATGTTCTTAAAGATCGCTTATTTTGTTCTTGAAGATTGCTTTGTTTGTTTTTAAAGATCGTTTAGTTTTTTTTTCGTAAAGATTGCTTAGTTTGTTGTTAAAGTTTGTTTAATTTTCCTTGTTTTTAAAAATCGCTTAGTTTGTTGTTAATGATCGGTTAGCTTGTTCTTGAAGGTCGGTTGGTTTGTTCATGAAGATTGCTTGGTTTGTTCTTAAAGATCTTTTAATGTGTTCTTAAAGATCATTTACTTTGTTCATAAAGATCATTTACTTTGTTTTTAAAGATCGAGTCGTTCGTTTTTTAAAGATCGTTTAGTTTGTTCTTAAAGATCGTTTAGTTTGTTAATAAAGATCGGTCAGTTTGTTCTTAAAGATCGCTTAGTTTGTTAATAAATATATCTTGGTTTGTTCTTAAAGATCGCTTTTTTTGTTCTTAAAGATCACTTAGTGTGTGTTTAAAGATCGTTTATTTTTTTCATAAATATCGCTTAGTTAATTCTTAGACATCACTAAGTTTGTTCTTAAAAATCATTTAGTTTATTCTTAAAGATCGCTTATTTTGTTCTTGAAGATCTCTTAGTTTGTTCTTAAAGATCGTTTAGAGTGTTCTTAAAGATCTTTTAGTTTGTTATTAAAGATCGTTCAATTTGTTCTTAAAGATCATTAGCTTGTTCTTAAAGATTGCTTATAATGCTTTTGAAGATTGCTTAGTTTGATCTTAAAGATCATTTAGTTTGTTGTTAAAGATCTTTGAGTTACCTCTTAAAGATCGTTTAGTGTGTGTTATGTAGCACACTTTTTCCGTGCGTGAACTTTACTTGACCTAAATTAGAATCCTAGCAGACAGTAACGTCTGTTGTGGGCGTGGCCTATTCGTTTGATGTATCTTATTTACAACCGTGTTTACCAATTAAACATGTGAGACTGTCTTCCTGGTATTTTCTCGAATGTGCTCGATAACCCGAGAAATGTAAACAAC